TGTTGTTAGTTTGTAGGCTGATGGAAGGTCAAGGTAGGGCATTTGTTCCATCCCAAAGGGATTGTAAGGCCTCCCACATAGGGAAGCCAGCCTCCAGGTGGGACCTGGGGCCCCCCCAGAAGCACATGAGATCATAGGCCTCTCCCTCACAAAGTCTTTGCCAAGCAATCTCAGCAACAGTGGTTATTAGAAGCAGGGTTTCTTCTTCTTCTGCAGTTCACAGCTCTTAAAATGGACCCAGATGCTCTTCTTCTTCTTCGGAGAGCCAGTTTGGTGTAGTGGTTAAGTGTGCGGACTCTAATCTGGGAGAACCGGGTTTGATTCCCCATTCCTCCACTTGCACCTGCTGATGTGACCTTGGGTCAGTCACCAGCTCTGGCACAGCTGTCCTTGAAAAAGAGCAGTTTGTGTCAGAGCTCTCTCAGCCCCACCCCACCTCACAGGGTGTCTGTTGTGGGGAGGGGAAGGGAAAGGAGTTTGTAAGCCGCTCTGAGACACCTTTGGGTAGTGAAGGGCGCGGTATAAATCCAGTCTCTTCTCTTCTCTCTTCTTCTTGCTCTCCATGGTGCTGCCAGAGGATGGGGGGGGCAACACATAGAAAAATCCCCCCCATGCTCATATGCTGCTGCCATAACTCGTGTTTCTTTTATGAATATGGTATCAGAAGTCAGTGCTTGCACACACTTAAACCTGTGCAAGGATGGAGGGTTAATTGTGCCTCAGTTCCCTCAGGCAACCTAAGGAGCTCCAAAGACCAAATTCCTCCTCTCCCTGGTGGGCTCAGCATCTCTCCCTCCAAAGGAACCACAGAGGGCACCAGGATCTGCAGTGAATGTTGAGGGGTCTTCGTCCTCTTGTCCCTTCCCCCTCTTCTTCTTCTTCACAGGCAGAGAGAGAAGGCCTGAGGGGATCCTCTAGATGGGAGGAGACCCTTGAAGCATGCTGGAAGATCTCCCCCTTTTAAGAAAAGCCTTTCCATACAGGAAAGGTACCACTCCAGTGGGAAGGTAACAGCATTCCGTGCGCCTTGGTGTTTAGTCATGCCGGCCACATGACCACGGAAATGTCTTCGGACAGCGCTGGCTCTTCGGCTTTGAAACGGAGATGAGCACCGCAACCCTAGAGTCGGATTCGACTGGCTTTCGAGCAAGGGAACCTTTACCTTTACAGCTGCATCATGAGATGTCCCTGAAGCAGCAGTTCTTCTGCAGGACTCCACAGTTGTACAAACTGGAACAGAGAGGCTCTTAGCAGCTGTCTAAAGAGGCAGCTCCAGAGAACCTCTTTTTGATCTCTTCTCCCCTCCCCACACAAGATTTTCATACATGGATCCCTATTTACAGAGATATTACAGAAATGCTATAAATCCCTGCTATTTTCTTCAGCAGAAACTCTCCCTGAGGCAGTTATCCCTGGAACTTCCTCTGAATCCTTGGAGAGTGCAGAAGTCCTAATTATTAATATTGCTGATCAACACTTCTAAAGCAAAGGAAGCTGAATGCTTTGGCTGCCATTTCTCTCTGTAATTTGCGGATGCAGTTTGCATTCTGGTGACAGGACAACCAGCATGGGCTTCTTGCTCCCTCTCAGCCTAACCACACAGGGTTGTTGTTGCTGTATGAAGAAGAGGAGATTGGATTTAATACCCCACGCTTCACTTGAAGTCTCCAAGTGGCTTTTGGAGTCTCCGAGTGGCTTACAATCGCCTTCCTCTCCCCACAACAGACACCCTGTGAGGTAGGTGGGGCTGAGAGAGCTCTGAGAGAGCTGTGACTGACCCAAGGTCACCCAGCAGGTGTGTGTGCAGGAGTGGGGAATCAAACCCAGTTCTCCAGATTAGAGTCTGCTGCTCTTAACCACTACACCAGGATAAAATGGAAGAAGGGAAATCATGTTGTAAGCCACTTTGGCTGCACTGGAGAGAAAAGTGGGCTCTGAGTATCTAAGTAAATAAAACCAACATATGAGAACTGCAGGTATGGGATAACTTTCTCTTTCTTGTGTCAGGGAAAAGAACCCTCCTATATCATTACAGAGATTGGGGGGGGGGACTGATGGAGGATGACAGCAGTTGAGCATGCCCATGTATTCTTTTTCAGATTGGGAATTTAGACACTGAGATCAACAGGAATTAATTTTAGATCTATATTTCCATGTTGAAATTTTTATATAATGCCAGCTTTATTTTTGCATTTGCTTTCAGAGTTATAAATAAAAGCCACTAAAACTGTCTGCATGCTTTGCTAGTACATATTTCTGGCACTGAACATTAACATAACCCACATCTGAGCCTCTGAGGACTGTCATATGGTCACACACGCACACAAAACCTTGAGAGGGATGTAGAGATGTGGCAGATGTGGTACAAGTGACTGCTAGCTGGCCATTTTGGAAGAGAGGAGTATAGGGCACTGGCTAGCCACGCCCCACTCTTTTCTGAAAGTGCCCACTGACAAAGCTGTACAGTAGTGGCAGGCACCTATATAGCTCCTTTGCTATCACACACATGCCTCATGAGGGGTGTAGCATCTAATTCTAACCATGCTTGCTCAGAAACAGTTTCCGTTGTTTTCATGGGTATTTCCTGTTCTAAGTGCTGCTTTCCCCCAAGTAACCTTGTGTAGAACTGCAAGCTGGATCCAGTAAATATTTAGTCAGAAGTAAGCACATGAAATTCAACAAGGCTTGCTCTCTCCGAAGAATGCATCGGTCTCCAACCTTAGCTGTATCCTACGCTTTCACACATGATGGCCGTAACAGCACGCTTGGAGCCCTGCCCTGGATGTAGCTGTCCTACTCGGAATAGGGATGCCAACCTCCAGGTGGGATCTGGGGATGGATCCCCGGAATTACAGGTCATCTCCAGACTACAGAGATCAATTCCCCTGGAAAAAATGGACGCCTTGGAGGGTGGACTCTGCGGCATTGTGCCCCACTGAAGTCCTTGTCCTCCCCAGGCTCACAAGAAACATAAGAGATGCCAATGTTGGATCAGGCCAAAGGCCCATCCAGCCCAACACTCTGTATCACACAGTGGCCAGAAATACCAGGTGCCATCAGGAGGTCCACCAGTGGGGCCAGGACATTAGAAGCCCTCCCACTGTTGACCCCCCCACACACACACCAGGCTCCATCCCCAAATCTCCAGTTTACCAACCTAAAGCTGGCAACCCTACCACCCATTCCCTGCTGGTGACGGAGAGTAGAGGGGAGGAACCTGGCAACTCTGACTCAGAAACCCCACTGGCACTGATGGTTTTGGGAGCGAAGCCTGAGGTGAGCAGAGCTTGGGGAGGGGAGAGGCTTCAATGGGGTATAAATGCCATAGAGTCCACCTTCCAAAGTGGCTGTTTTCTGCAGATGAACTGATCTCTGTCACCGGGCGATCAGTTGTAATCCCAGACGATCTCCGTACCCACTGGTCTACTCATAAGAAGGGCCTGGTCTGACTCTTGAGCAATGCTCCCTCTAAGCTGTGTAGTCTTGTGAGAAAAAAATTCTGCTTTGTGAGCGACTGGCATTAAAGTCGTGAGCGAGCAATTTGGCTACTGCATAGATTAGTTTGCTCTGGAGCCATCCTTCCTGAGCTAAGACAAGAATGTGTGAGCCGGAGGCTAAAAAACTGTGAGCTAGCTCACACGGACTCAGCTTAGAGGGAACACTGCTCTTGAGCAACTGTGCATAAGATCGCCACCTTTATTGGGTGCAATGCACATGGAAGCCAGTGGGATTTACTCAGCTGCACAATTTCAAACACCTGTGCTACTCACAGAGGGTTGCCATCTCCAGGCTGGAAAATTCTTGGAGATTCTAGGGAAACTGTTGCCTTGAGATCAGCTGTAATTCTGGGAAAGCACCCCACCTGGAGGTTGGGAAGCCCAATTCTAAGTAAGCTCCCCACCCCCAAATATGCATTCTTCATTCAGGACTACTGCTTAACCAGAGGCAAAGAGAAATCAGCACCGCCTCCTTTTTAACCAACGAAGCTGGATGGAGTCCAGATAATTGGCCAGGTGGGAGGGGGCAGGGTCAAAGCCTAACTGCAAATGAAACAACTGCGGCTGGTGCTCTCTGGGGCAGCTCGTGAACGTAGTTAGTGTCTTGACCACTCTGTGTGATAATCGTTAACACATTTTACATTCTATCTGAAACCTGTTTATTAAAACCCTGCAAGAAAATCCCACTGGGTGACCATGTTGCAGGAAAACAACAACAACAACAACAAAACCTACACAAAGTCAGGTGGGGTGGCCGTCTTGGTCTGTAGCAGCAGAACAAAGCTTGAGCCCAGTAGCACCTTTAAGACCAACAAAGTTTTATTAGGGTATACGCTTTCATGTGCCAGCCCACTTCTTCTGTTATCTGAAGAAGTGTGCTTGCACAGGAAAGCTTATACGCTGAATAAAACTTTGTTGGCCTTAAAAACCTAAACAAATAAGCCTCACAACAACTTTAAAAGTTTTAATTTGAGTGGGGGGTGGTTAAGATATTTATATCCCACTCTGTGGCGGGGGGGGGGGGGGGGATAGGCTGGTATTAATGCCACAGTTCCAAATGGATCGCCGCATTTAGTCTGCAGCAACAAAATACAGGATTCCGTGCGCCTTGGTTTTTAGTCATGCCGGCCACATGACCACGGAAACGTCTTCGGACAGCGCGGGCTCTTCGGCTTTGAAACGGAGATGAGCACCGCAACCCTAGAGTCGGACTCGACTGGCTTTCGAGCAAGGGAAACCTTTACCTTTACCTAACAAAATACAACAACAGCCCAACGGCCCTTACGAGACCAACCACCTTTTTGTTGTGCATCAACGGTACCGTCCGCTCCCGGCCACGAGACCGCAGGCTTACTCCAGCCGCAGAGCCGCCGTAGCCAGCCTGGACCACTGCGACGCGCGCGCGCGCGCGCACGGGAGGGGGTGTTCTTGGAGGGTGGGCGTGGCTTCCTGACGCACGCTCGCGGTCTCTTCGGGCCGCCCCCGCCGCGGCTGAGTGGCTGGGGCGGCGCCTCCTAAGCATTAACCGTTAGGCGGACGGAGTGGGCGCGGTGCTCCGTCCTGTCCGTTGTGGCCTCCTGCGGGAGCGCGCGTGCACGCTCGCGCCTCGCCCTCCTTCTTCTCTCTCTTTGTGTCCTTACCTGTCTCGGGCCGGTCTCGTCATGGAAGCGCAGAAAGTAAGTCGGGCGGTGAAGGGAATGGCGGGGGAGGATGGGGGAGGCTGCGGTGCGCCCCAGTCTTTGTGGGAGCTCTTTTCTCTCGGGGCGGAGGAATAAAGAGGGAAAGGTGAGAGTCCCGAGAGAGAGGCGAAGGAGTCGGGCCGAAGCCGTCTCCGAGGGCACGGCTGAAGAAGACTGTCGCTGTGGGAGAGCCGTGTCTGCTTTTGTGGCCCTCTTTTCGGGGGGGACGGACTGTTACTAATTCCAGAATCTCTTGTTTTAGGGAGGGCCCCCCAGAAGGCTGGGAGCCCCCCTGGGGAGCGGCGAGAGAGACCCATAGAGCTTCTGGGGGGGCACCTTTGAGCGCTTCATTGTGGCCTTTGAGTTGCTGGTGTGGTGCTCGCGGCGGGGCGGGGCTGCTGCACAACACACAGGAATCTGTTTTATACGAAGTCGGGCCTTTGCTCAGTGTTCAGTACGCATAAAGCTGCCTGGTACCCAGTCAGACTGGCCAGCCAGCATCATTCATTTATTAAGATTTGTGCCCTCCCTGCAAGTGGGCTCAGGGCGGGTGACAGCAATGGAAATACAAAATAATCAAAACAATTTAACAATAAATAGATAAAGCAGTTAAAATAGCAGGTAATACAGTACTAGAAAATATGTTAGGTTCTAGCCATACTGAATGATTAAAAACAACCAGGCCATAGAACCAGGAGTGGTGATAGATCTCCTTAAAGGTGTTCCAAATCCAATTGGGTGAGTGGGGAGCCCAGCAAGGGAGGCCAAATGATTGGGTGTCTGCCACCTCAACCGAAGACCTGGTGGAACAGCTTTGCTTTGCAGGCCCTGTGAAACTGCATTTTAGGATATTAGTTGATACCGCATCCCAAGGAGAGCTATTTCTGCTTCATATCACCTGTTACCTGGCCTTTTTCAACCTGAGACCCGCTGCCTACAAAGCAAATGTTTAGCCACAGCCCCTCCCTTTAGGAGCACCTGAAGTTGCCTTGTGCCAAGTCAATTGGTTTCTCAAGGCATTCTTGTGTGCTCTGGCTATCAGTTGCTTTCCAGGGTTTCAGACAGAGGTTTTTCACATCACCTGCTACCTGGGACCTTCTGTGGGCAAGTAGACGCTGTACTGTGGACCTACAGTCTCCAGTGTCCTCTGGCTGGCAGCTGGTTGGCAAAGCCTCTCTGATAGAGTTTTTCCTCATCTCTGAGCAGCTGAACCATGGGACCTTTTGCATGCAAAGCAGATGGTCTGCTGTTGAGTCATTGTCTCTATCGTATTGTGTCCTAAGCAAATTGTGACTAGTGTGCTGCCCCAAACAATGACAAGCCAGGGTTTGCAAACCAGGGTTTTGAGGCAATGCTAACTATAGTTTATGTATTTGGATGTCACAGAAAACAAGGGAAGGGAAGATGAGCACATGAACTTATACTGAGTCATGCCGTTGCCTCCTCTGACTGGTGATTACTTTCTTTTGTCTCAGCAAAAGGTATTTCACATCAGCTACTATCTGATCTGTTAACTGAAGGGATTAAACCTGGGACCTTCTGCATGCAAAGTAGATGCTCTGCCAATGAACCATGCACCCGTCCCCAAGAATCTGCCCTTCTCTGGTGTTTCTTTGGTTTGTTGGCTCTATAGGTAGTACCTCCTTTCCTTTGGCGTACAATGGGAGTTCTGTTGTCACTGGGACTAAGGTTGCCATCTCCACCTTGGAGAATTTCTGGAGATTTGTGGGCAGACCCTGTGGAGTTTGGAGAGGGGAGGGGCCTCAGCAGGGATTATGTCATATAGTCCACCCTCTGAAACTGCCATTTTTCTAGGGGAACGGATCCTTTTTTAGTCTGCAGAACAGCTGTGATTCTGAGAGAACTCTAACCCCCCCCCCACCTGATGTTGTCAACCCTACCTGGGATTGGCCTTGACTCTAGTGAAATGGGGTCAGAAGCTCTGTGTATTAAACATTGGAGTAATACTCTTGTAGGTGACAATCTCTAGGAAGTTCAAATGTATATTAAATCTCACTTTCGCATACTGAGCATAGCTGTTTTTGTATAAAGGCCTTTAGTAGTTGGAGAGATGGTGTGGGGGCTTCTGGAGTAGAGAAGGGAAAGGCATGAGCCAGTATGTATTTCCTTGGTTTTAGTAGATTCGGGTGGGGTAGCTGTGCTAGTCTGAAGTAGCAGAACGAAGTTTGAGTCCAGTGGCACCTTTAAGACCAACAAAGTTTTATTGACGGTATAAGCTTTCATGTGCAAACACACTTGTAGGGTTGAATTATTTTTGTTATGTTCTTGGTTACTTTGAGTACACATCAAAAGGTGGAGTACAAATATTCTCTATAATTTGAAGTGTTTTTTCTACTGTATGGTTTAAAGTATTGTGTTGTGAAAGACCTAGTTTGGATTTCATTGCATGCTTTGAGGTTTTATTGTGGTATGAAAACCATTGTTCCTATATACACCAGCAAGTTCATGAGAAGACTAATGTACATTTTGTAGTAAGCAAAACAAGCCATTAATATTTCTAACCTGTAAAAGGAGAATTGAAAGATCATTCAGGTTCTGAGAGACTAAATTTTAGCTGTCTCCAAGAGGAGTGAAAAGTGGTGTATGGGGTGGTGGTGGGAGAATAGTTAAGCAGTTCGAGACCTGAGTGCTGCATGACGGAGTGAGGTCCTGTCTCTGGTCCCAGCTCCTGCCAGCCTAGCAGTTTGAATGCAAGACATTGCAAGTAGATAAATAGGTACCACTTCGGTGGGAAGGTAACAGTGTTCCATGTGCCTTGGCGTTTAGTCATGCCCACGGAAATGTCCTTGGACAGTGCTGGCTCTTCGTCTTGGAAATGGAGATGAGCACCGCATCCCTAGAGTCTGATTCGACTGGCTTTCGAGCAAGGGAAACCTTGACCTTTACCTTACTGCTGCTAATGGTCTCACCTCACTGCTTCCTGCCATACTGCCAGTCCACCAGCTAAGATCTTTCTCACAAGCCCGGCTCTCTGTGTCCTCACCTTCAAAAGAAAGGCATGAGGTAATCAGCACTTCAGTCAGTGGTGAAAAATTCAGAGACCGGGCTTTTTCAGTAGGGGAACCTCACCTGTGAAATGCCCTTCCTGTTGAGGCTTACCTCCTACCTACCCTACTCTCTTAGACTCTGGGACAAAACATGTTTTTACTCAGGCTTTTAATTAAAGGGTTGATCTTCCACCATCATTTCTGTAGTCTGCTCATAGCCTGAACTGTTTTGAGACCCCTTTTCAGCTGGTCTGTATTTTATGTTTTATGCTCTGGCTGCGTTTTTATTGTTGGGTTTTCTTAAATTGTTAACTAATATGGCATTTTATGTTTTTTATTAAGTTTTAGTTTGAGAGTGCCCTCAAGCAAGTTCTTTGGGGAGACGGCATAGAGTTTTTCCAAATAAATCTCTTCAGAATAGCTCCTCCAGTAGATGGTTCACTTGACTCTTTTAATAACGTATATACACACAACTATGTAGCTTTGGTTTTATTTTTTCCTAATCAAGTGTGTGCTTTCAGAAGAATAAATGAGAGGTTAGTTCCGCCTGGTGCACATCAGTAAAAGTACTACAGTTTAATTATTAGTGGCTACCAGAAACATTAGTTGTGAACATTCTCTTGCAGGAATTAATATTAAAGGTTATTGCACAAGCACTGTTTGGATGTGTAAATGGTAATATTTGCTTTCTACCAATAGTATATCGCATTTCCATACAAAGAATGATATGAAAATTTGCTTCACCCTTTAAATAACATGTGCTTTGTGGTGTTACCTTGTTAGGAGAGAATGTTGTTTGGTTATACAAAAAGCTCAAACTTGTAATTTTGTGTTGGTTCAAGAAAATAATACCTGATACTTTAGGGTGAACAGTGGTAATCTGCTAATCCGTTTGTATTTGTCCAACTGTAATTTAAAAAGGAACAAATTATCTTTATAGTCTCTTCTTACCATGTTGCACCTTTTGCTGGTGTTTCATCTAAGAGGCTGTATAGAAAGATAACTGATAGATATGGCACTGTTATGTAGGTGGCCCTGTTATGTAGATGCTGAAAGTTGATTAGATAAAGTAGGTATACAGTGTATACAGTGAGAGACATAGAGGCCTACATCTGCAAAATGCTGTTAGTTGGTGCTTGCCTAGGAAAATAGTATCTTGATAAAGTAGGGCAGCATGCTAGGCTGTAGAAGAGACTTATCAATAATTAAGTGTGTGGTAAGTTGAGCAGGCTTAAGTGTCTACGTCTAGGAGGGGAAATATGTTACCATCAGTTCAGAGGAAGAGAATGTTGTTTAGGAATTGCACAGAGAAAAGCGCAATCTCTTACTCAATTCAGATAGCAATTTAAGCTGTATTATCTCAGGCAGTGTCTCTCCAAAAATGGAGTTTAATTGTGCTTAGTGTGCTAATATGTCAGGTTCCTGGTTAGTTCTTAGTCTGGTTTTTTTAATTGTAAACTGCTTCCAGTTACGTGGAAGAGTGGTATAGAAATGTAATAATCAAATCAGATGGACTATTTTTGGATGCTAGTATTTTCAATTACATAACAGCTAAGGAAGAATCTGCCCCCCCTTAAATCTTTGTTTAAAGAAAATGAAGACGAGTTCCTTTTGTGCCTTTCGAATGTTCAATTAATATTGGGGGGAGGGGGAGATTGAGTGAGGAGAGAGCACCCTTCTGGTCTCTACTTCTAATCTCCATTTCGTATCTGATGTTCTTAGTGGCACCTAAACATCTGAGTTGTGTACAGGATGTCTGGTCACAGGGCTACAGGTTGTAATCCGCCTTGAGTCCCAGTGAAAAACATGGACCATAAATGAAGTAAATAAAATAAATAAATGCATTTAGGCTCTGTTCAGAACATCAGATAAACACATGGAGGTTAGAAGTGGAGAAACAGTGTTGAGACGTGTTATTAAATGCTGGTATTATAGAAGAAATGAAATAAATATATAAGAAAGCATTTGTTTCTGGAAACAAAATGGTCAGCTTTTAACAAACAATGCATATAATTATGGATATCCGTTTAAGAGTATAGTTTCAAAGGCATATAGGAACTGATCATCCCAAGAGATCAAGGAGCTGGATAGATTCTGCTAATTCTCACAGCAGTTCCAAAAACCCATCACTGGCACACTATTCTCCTGTCCTTCCCCCAAATAATGTCTTTTATAGGCTCCAGCCTTCACATCCTAAAGTAGGTGAGGATGTACTGTTTTAATGTTAATTAATTTGAGCATTGTTGTAGGAAGTTTGTGCCAATTAATAGGGCACACATAACAGTTAAAAACTGGCTCAAGAAAAATCAGATATGCTCCATTTTCATACCTTTATATTTTCTACACGTATTCGAAACTACTTACGACATTGGAGTTCAGTGTGGCATAAAATATACATATGTATATTTGTCTATTGTAGAATGTCTGCTTGCGTTTGATTGCATTTGATGCATTTTGACTTGTAGCTGAAGTTCAGTTCTATTCTAATACTTTGTTTATGGTGAGATAGTTGGTAAGGAAAATAACATAGGGTAGTATGTTTATTTTAGGAGTGGCTGTGTAAGGAACTGTCTTGGCACTTTTTGAATAGAAACCTTTGCTCTCAAATTAGTATGTGTTCTCTATAAGTGGATATAAAATTATTTTCATATGGTAAGAATAAATGAAATCTGGTAAATTCAGGAAAGAAGATGTTTGAGAGTTCTGACTTAAACTAACAGTTACACTTATAGGTTTTGCTCTAGGCTATCAGATGCATTGTTCATCTGGAGTTGTAGTAAAAACAACTTGTTAGCTCGGCTCCGGACTTAATACTGGTCATATAGAATATAGAATCTGAAAGCGTGAAGTGGTTCTAAACACAGTGCTCTTCGCATGAAAGTTCTCCATGGAGTTTAAGAATGAAATATTGGGGGGAAAACTTGAGAGGTGATACATTTTACTTACACATACATGGATGTTTGCTATAAAATGTAACTGGTTGTTGATGTAATCTTAGCCTGAGATAAATCCTTAATCTTTACGTCAGTGAAAATTGGTAACTTGGTAAGAGTATAGAAATCCAGAGTCCAGGAATCTGGCATTACTGGGTCGACAAAGGACTAGGACAAGTTTTCCTTGGATGATCAGGTGTTAAGTATTTTGTTATTGCTTATTCAAATTTGTGGGATTCGTTTATATTATAGGATATACATACATGTAAAATGGCACTAATGGCAGACCAATGTAGGGTTATGTCCATAGCTCAGAAACTGAATATGAGCAGGGACATTCCTAATACTTCTGCCTCAATTCAGAATTATGGTTTCCAGGGCATGGCTGGGAAGGTGCTCTAGAGATAAGCAGTATCTTGGTTTCCCAAATCTAGGTTTTTTCCTGATGCCTATGTCCTTTTCATGTTTGACACCTGTGAATATTTGTTCCCCATTAAGTGTGAACAAGCCAGCTAGATTGGGAATGTAAGATATTGGTGATACAGTATGTGTAAACTTACAGGGTTCCTTGTCTTTAGCTTTTCTGCTTTCATGTGCTTGGGTGTTATAGTGACAACACTGATATTTGTTTTAAAATATTTGCTTTACACATGAATGCAAGCGGAAATTTAGGTAAACACATATCTGCCAGTTGTGGTACAGACAGAGCTCTTTAAAAGGACTCCACAGCAAATCCTGTTAAGTAGCATATTGTAGTAAAACTAACGTTCACTGAACTGTAAATGGAACAAGTTCACACTGCCCCTGAGGCTTAGGAAACCCTCAGGAACAGAGTAGGATGTAGAAACTAGGAGCAGTACAATAACTACTCTACGCTTTCCATAAAGATAGAGTCAGGCAGGTAGCCGTGTTGGTCTGAAGCAAGAGAACAACATTTGAGTCCAGTGGCACCTTTAAGATCAACAAAGTTTAATTCTAGGTGTAAGCTTTCATATGCACACACACAAAAGCTTACACCTAGAATGAAACTTTGTTGGTCCTAAAAGTGCCACTGGACTCAAACTTGGTTCTACTCCATGCTTGTTTTTAACATGGGAGAGAACTTCTGATGTTTTCTCCCACACTACCTCCCATTCTGTTTTGTATGGGTTCCTCAACTCTCAGACAGCTTTTGGATTTGCTCAAGGGAAGGGAGGAAAGGGAAAGATGCGTTTGTATACTCATTTAGAATTAGAACCAGTGAATAGAATATTTCCTAAAATGTTGTCATTTGTAACCATTATAGATTTTCTAACGGACCACAGGTATTTTATATGTGAAGGTAAAACACCAGCCCTTCTGTTTTTTCACTGCAGACTCGTCTGTTCACACTTTATGATATTGCTCAGAATCTAGGGAAGGGTTCCTCTTATTTCCACCAATTTCTCATACCAGCTGTTATCTCCTGTGTGATGTCCCATAATATTTGGGAGGGTGTTCTGGCCTGTAGAAGCAATTTTCACAGGGGCATAGAAGGCTGCTGTAAAAGTGGGGAGTGCATTTTGAGTGCAAATCTTCCTGCAGTATTCTGAATCACTTCTGGACAACAAAAGGCAGCCCATCTTGATTTTGGTATAAATCCTCATCAGACCTAAGCTTGGTCATTAAGACACAAATGGCATTCAGTATATTGCTGTCCTGTAGTTGATAAAATACAAACTCTTACCATCTTGATTAGAAGAAGGAGATTGGATTTATACCCCGCCCTTCACTACCCGAAGGATTCTCAGAGCGCTTCCCTTCCCCTCCCCACAACAGTCACCCTGTGAGGTTGGTGGGGCTGAGAGAGCTCTCAAGAACTGTCCTTGAGAGAACAGCTCTGAAAGAATTTATGACTGAACCAGGGTAACACCAGCAGCTGCATGTGGAGGAGTGGGGAATCAAATTCTCCCAGATTAGAGTCCATGCTCTTAACCACTACATCAAACTGGTTCTGCATCTATGTAGCTTGAATAGTTGATCAGTCAAGTGGTTTGTAATAAAGGAATTAATTGTCTAAAAATGACTGACTGAAATTCTATGTTGTATTTAAGTAAACTAAAATCTTCATTAACTTCTCTAATTCTAGGAAGCTCTGCAGAGGATTATTTCCACCCTGGCACACAAAAATGATGAAATCCAAAACTTCATTGAAACACTAAATCACACATTGAAAGGTGTCCAGGTATGTGGTAATGCTTGCAAAAATTGCTGTGTACATTTCAAAGGGGCTTGTCTAAACTTGTTCCACTTCACTTTTGAAGTAATAAAGGCCAAGGGTCAAAGTAGTTGAAACTGTGCCAGCCTCATTTGTTCTAGTTTGCCCTGTTTGCATATAAAAATGGGAGTGAATCTTCTTTAACATTAAGAAGGGCAGGTAGGTGAGAAGATGACCCCTCCCCCAGCAGTTGATCCTTTTAGGTACTTCAGTTATATCCTTGTGCGGGAGATGGACGGGGGGTGGCTCAACCCCCCTCATTCATGAATACCTTCTGTTCTAAATACAGACTCCATACTCAAGCTTCATTTATGTATCTGCCCCACTTGTGTATAATGTGCTTTAAATTTTTATGAAGTGTCATTATGGCTCTGAACAGTGTTACTGTCCCTCCAGAATAACTGGTTTGCCACTGGTGAGATAGGAGGCTGGGTTAGATGGGCCACTGCTCTGATCCAGCAAGGCTCTTCCCATATTCTTAACCATCATGCAGTCATAGAAATCAGTGCCATGGCCAAGTATTTCAGAGGAATAGCTTCAGTTTTTATGCAGTATTGCCTAGCTGCAGCTTCACCCTAAAGCTTCTAATCTGGCTATAAAGTTTTCAGTTGCCCAGCATTTTGGTAATACTGTTGATAAGTTGGCAGTTTCTGTCATGAAACGCAGTCAGTACAATAGAGAATTCTTCTGTTGTGAGTGAAGTTTCTCATTTGGAGGGGGAGGGCTACTAACCCCACATTGGTGTTCCAATGAATTTAAGGAATTTATGGTTGCTGTTGAGAGGTGACTATGTTGGGCTTGAATTTGGCAACTTGACGTCAGGTTTCTGCTCAGCGGTGAAGATTAGTGCTATACGTCAAAACCCATCTCACAGGATGGTTCTGAGAAAGAAGTGTGATAAGCCCCCATGTACAATGTCCAGAGGTCCTTGAAGGAATGGAAGGGTGGAAATCTGAATGTGAGACAAATTAGAATGTGTTTTGCCTTTTAGGCATTCTCTGTGTGCTAACTTCATGTGTCCATATTGTCTTTTTATAACTAGTTTCTATAATCATATGGAAGAGTGACGTCAAAACCAGTAGTCTTGTTGTCTTGCCTTGTTGACGATGACTGCTTTATGAACTATTGATGACCTTCGTATTTGAGTAGGTCTAACTGAAGCAGCAACATAAGTCATATTTATAATATGATCATCAGTGTTGGTTTATGATAAATGTCTCATAATATTCCAATTATGCTTAGGAAACTCAGTATGCTACAGAGTCGAAATCATGACTATGTGATGGTTACAGTTAAGTTGGGTTTGGTGATATGCGTGTTAACTTTATGTATTGGTTTGCTCAACTCAAATTCTGTTCACAGGCTAATGCTTCTGGTGTAATTGGTGAGCTGGATGAGGAGTTTGATGGTTTGTATTCAATACTAGATGAGATGAAGGAGAGCATGACTACCAGTATCAAACAAGCAGAGGCTCATAAAACTCAAGAACTTCAGGTAATAAGGCATGTGGTGATTCAGTAATAATACCCTAGAGTTCTTGTAGTATAAGAAAATCTGGAACAGATTAAATAACTACAAATTCCTGTGGGTGTAAATTTGTTTTGAAAAATGGGTTTCTGCAAGCTTAGACAAGTATGGTATTTTTGCCTAGGCTTTATTTGCTGTATTTCTAGTACTTTTATATATGGAATGACACTGATCTAGCATCTACTGCATAAATAGCAAAAGTAAAATTTTTCTGAACTGTACAATAGTGTATGTGTATCAGATTTCCAGAAGAAATCCATCTAAAATAATTATTTAGAATGCCTCCAGTGGCTTTGCAAAATAGTGTATCAACGTTTTTTAAGAAATGAAAAGTTTAAAATGTACAGTATGATTATCGGCTGAACATTTTCATTTTAAAATACACATCTGATTGTCTTGAATTTTCCAGCTTAACAATGACAAATGCGCTGCCTCTGAAAAGAAGCAGTATACACCCTTGAAAAGTTCTCAGAGTATCTGATTACTTCTGAAAGGACCTTCTTACCCAGATTGCCTGATGCATTCCTGAGAACAGTTTGAATATTGACATGCTAATTAGTATAAGACCCTTCAGTTCTGTTCTGGAATTCCTGTAGCACTCCAAAGTAAATGAAAAATACTTGAAGGGTCTTCTGATACGCCTTCCCTGGTAAGCTCTTGGGGCTGCTGTTTCTTCAGTACTAATGTTAAGTGCTTGAAGAACAAACTGAAAACATTGACATTTGGATTTGGCCGATGTGCTTCACAGGCAAGGTTTGTGAGCTTCATGTGGGCAACAGTAATTTGTAACTCTTTGGTCACTGGGCTACAGTGTTCAAGACTCTAATCATTTCTTCCTTTGTAACTGGATGGGGTATCATTTGCTGTGCTTACAAATTGAGGATAAATGTTAATACACTGTGATTATTTGTTAAATATTTACAGAAAATAATGCATTCAAGTACCAAATACTAACTGAACTATTTATGCCTATATAGCTTTGTTGTCTACCAAGCATTAGCATGTTAGTTAGATACCATGGAAGTCAGTAAGTTTGTAAGGCTTAGACAATTCATATTTCATATATTGAAGGAAATAACTATACCCCAACTTCAACACTGCATTTTCGATTGAGTAAACACCTGTACTCAAATCTGATGTGTTATATTTAATGACTTCAACCCTGTGCGTGCTTGCTTTGAACACAAACTACATATGTATAACTACACAGGTTGGTAGTTATCCTACATGTCATGGATAAGAGCAGAAGGGGCAGAGATTTACTGAGACCAGTGTTTGTGGTGCAGCTGAGGTTAGGAACTTTCAACTTGTCCAGATAGGCATGGTTTTTGCAGCCGGGAATGAAAACATGGCATCTCTTTGATATACTGGAACTTCTCTGTTGGCTGAGTAGGTTCTGGCAGGCTGTTGCTGCCAGACTCCAAGACCCAGATTGGCTAAGATTTTTACACACCTGAGAGGGAGACCTGAAAATGAACTGTTCCTTCTTATTTGTGTATTTATTTATTTAAATTTGTTAATTGCCCAATCCCTGCAATGCATTGCTCAGGTGATGTACATCATTCATAAAAACATTAAGATAAAATAATTAAAACATTAATAACATACTTCAGGCAAAAAGATGGTTATATTAATTGGTCCCATTTCAGACTGCTTGTGTTTGTGTTTGACTGTGGGGACAGTGGGACCATGCAAAGTTCAACCTCCTCTTTATGCATGCGCCCATTTGAATCACCCAACAGGGAGTGGAGATCAAACATTTAGGTATTGTAAGTTCCGAGTTAGGTTAGAAATTATTCTCTTTTTTATTAGTAAGAACCATTGTCCTCTAGCCTGTATTTTTACTAGAATTATGCCAGTAGATTAAAGCCTGTATTTAAGAGAAGCAACTGCTATATTCCTATCCATGTTCCTTGCTGTGGCTAATATTACCAAAGCAGCTCTGCTTTGATTCTCTTCTTGGTACCAAACCACTGGGATAGACAATGATCAGGAGGTGGTGGCAGCCTACCAAAGGGAAGGCTCTAACCCCTACTTAAGAGGGGGCTGGGGAACAGCAGGGGATCCTTACTAGGGAGAGTGGGCGTCCCTCAACCAAAAAAACCCCACCCCAGTTTCTGAGCCAGGACTGGGCCTTGCTTGCTTGCCCAAGGGTTGTTTTGCCTGAGCCAGGAGTGTGGGTGGCCTTTCAGGAATGGTGCAGAAGAGTTAATATTCCATATCTCCTCTTCCACACTCCTGGCTTGTGGAGAGTTCAGCCTGATTTTGCCTACTTAGCTAGCTTTGGCTTGAGTTCCCTAGGCCAAAAACACCTACCATTTTGTTTATTATTATTACAGTCCGAGGTCAGCAGTCAGGAATAAAACACCTACCATTTTGGAATTTGTTTTTTTTTCTTTTCAGCGTTCCTAATAGAGGCCATAAAACTACATCAATGATGTCTAGAAGAGAGACTTCAGCTTCTTACTTAAAACAGTGTGGCTCTAATGCAAGAACTAGTCAGAAGCTCAAGCTTCCCTCCTAATGCTGCCATCTTGTTCTTGAATGAGCATGGACATGGTGTCCTTCTATACTGAAAATCATGTAACTGGTAGATGAGAATATGGAGCCAACAATCATGCAAATAGCTTAACTAGGGCTAGATGTGTGTTTCCCATGCTCACAGTTCTACTTTGGGAGTGAGACGTGGAATTTGACATTGCCAACAACTTGCAGCCTCACATTTGCCTTCAGGCTTGTCATCTTCTGAAATCTTGTAGTTTGGAGAACTAGAGGAGGATTGTTGATCAAACTTACTGCTTTTGCAGCCTTAGTTGGCAGATGGAAAGAAAAGGAAAATACCTGCTAAAATATGTTCTCTAATAGTTAACAAATTACTATGGGCTGGTGTGCTGAATTGTATTATTTTCTTCTAGAGTCAACTTAGTCAATGTAGTAAAGCCCTTGAGAACTCTGAAGAATTGCTAGAATTCGCTACACGGTCACTGGACATAAAGGACACTGAGGACTTTTCAAAGGTATAACCGCTATCTAATGTGAACCAAATGATGCCCAGATATTATTAACAGCATGTTGCATATGTCTGAAAATGTATAGTAAGGCATTGTGGTAGGAGGACCATTAAGACCATCTGTAATTGTTCAGTTACAACACTGAATTAGTTTCAGTGGGTACCCCTGTTGGTCCGCAGTAAGACAGCTAGCTTTGAGTCCAGTAGCACCTTAGAAACTAACAACGTTTTTTGGATATGAACTTTTGAGAGGCAAAGTTCCCTTCATTAAATACCTGTTGAGTTAGTATTTGCCAGTGCTCATGCACCAAATATCTTGTACTTGGAGCAATGAAATCATTAGTATTAGAGGGCCCATATGTAGGATGATAAATCTACTGCTGACTGGGGAAATCTGAGACTTCTGTCTTCACTTACTCTCAATTGATTTTAAATTGGCAAAACAGTCTGTCAGACTAGTTAGTCTCATGACTAGTTTCCCAGCGCTTTGTTTCCCCAGGTTGTTTGTACCACCAGTGCTAATCCAAGTTCAAAACCCTGTTACTTGTACTTGTCTGCTAAGCATAACTTCCTTTGTTGGAAAGGCAGCTGAGTGTTTCAATCAATGATGGAGGTGGCTTTAAAACTAATACTTGGAGGTATGCTCGGAGAGAGTTCCTAATGCTTGCTTGTGGCTGAGGAATTTGGTCTGTGTGTTATGAATACTCTGAAGTTAAACTGAGATTTGTTATTCTGGAGAAGTTTACTTGGGACTTCCACTAGGGGTCATTTCTGTGAAATTAATCCAAAAGCAAACCTTGCTGAGATGCCCCTTCCTAGTTATTGACTCCAGCCGACACCTTGCTGCCCGGATTACTCTCTTGCCATCCAGTCTCCCAGTCAGATTACACTATTATTTTACTACTCCCTGAACCTACTAATGAATCTTGACACACATTCTATTTATTGCCCTATTCTAATATGCTTGCCAAATGGTCACAGATCAAAATAGTTTGGCTCTGCAAAATGCAGTACCTTGAGCATCAGTTTGAAAACCTGCTGTTTCATCACTCTCTGTTTTGATGGGTGTTATTGCCGAAATTATACTTGCTAGCTGATGAGGCTTGTTTGGCTTTCATAATGAGGATGCATTCTAGTGATGGCCATGTGCTTACTCATAACTTCAGAAGATCTGAAAATGGCTCTGTTCAAACTGGGGAGGAGGAGGGCAGAATCTTGATGACAGCTGTTTTTATGTTCAGAATAAATATTACCATAAATATGGATTATGTTCCCTGTTGACTGACTGCTGCCCTGTAGCCCAGAAATGTTTCTGTTAAAATGGTTGGATAGTAAATTTACCATGAGAAGTGTAGTGCTACAATTAATAGTTAACTGCTGAAGGAACAGAATTCACATTGGTGTAGGAGACTGCTTTCGCTTTGAGCTGAATTTATTATTTATTCAGTATTCTTTGATCTCTTTCCTATTAATATGCAATGGGCAGCATTAGATCGGGTGGGGGGGGATCCAGAGATGATTTGTCATTGTCTAGTAACCTGTTCTTTTTTGTAAGGGCATAGACAGTTTTGTTTGGGAAAATAAGGAACGTGTAACCTGAGCTTATCCTTGGTAGACCAGGAATCTAGTTGCTTTTCTTCTGTCGGGTTTATGGGTGACTTTGGGGCAAGTTATTGTTGGCAACTGCAAAGGGTAGAGGCTACCGCAAACAAAATTAGAACATTTTGCTTACACTGAAGCGGCTTCTGTTCTGCCTTTGTCATGTGTATTGTGGGGCCAAACTAATGCAGTGCTGGAGTTTGGTATGGGGAACACACAAACCTATTTGTCCTCTAAAGGGTCAGTGTGCAGGACCATAGGGAAGTTGGTTTAAGTGCCCCCAGTATTATTTGCCTGGTTTGAAATAGGCCTGCAGAACTGCTATTTACCCTGCTGGGAGTAGACATATAGAAGCTGAATGAGGACCTTTGTGCCCGCCCTATTATGGCAAATAGTAGCCCCTCAGGGCTTTTCAGGTCAGGAAAATGGTGCAAGGGGAGGCTTAGAACCACCACCACTACCCCCGCTGTCCTGGTCCCATTTGATGTCCTGAGCACAGGCTATTTAAAAGAAAGACGCTTGGGAGTTCACAACACAACTCACTATCTTTTCTGGCTTTAAATGCTGGTTTCATTGCTCCATGCTAAAATTCTCCCATGAGTAGGAATGTTGTCTGCATCCAAAAATACAGTTAGAAGAGCTCAGACATAAGCAGTTTTTCTCAGCAGATACTCATTTTATTTGCAGGCTTCCCCTTTTTCACCTGGGTAAGGAATTTACCTAGTAGGCCAAGTCCCAGTTACCAGACCATGATAAGATTTTCCCTTCCCACCCTTACTGCACCTCCCGAAGGGTATGAAAACCTTTAACTGCTTTTTTCAGTAGGAATGGACAAAATAAATAGGTTGCAGTCTTATGAAAACTTCTCTTTAAGCTGTTTTAAAAGGTCATTATTTTAAAATTCTTAGCCATCCTGTCCTGCTTTGGTTGTAGCTTAGAGTAATCTCTGGCAGGTAAGATTCTACTGATAACTGAACATCCAGAAAGGAGATTCTTAAACCTCCCTTTAGTCTCCTGGTTAGCATAGGCCACGTTAGACATGTGTTGATGTCCAGGCAGCCACAAAACCACATTGATATAACAATAAAACTTTTAACTTCTACTCAATGCCTAACATCTCTGATTACAAAAGAGAATTTTGAACAAGCAAAGGTGTATTCATAGCATTTTGAGTGAAGAGGGTAGAAGGAAGTAAATGCATTCATGCTACCCTTAAAGTTAATTTGGCGTTAATGTGAAAAAGGTAGGCCAATATTATCTGAAATTAATTCCAGATTATTTCATAGCTAGAAATTGAACATCCTGTGACCCTACATTTTTCATCTGCTCTCCTTTTCCATCTGGCTTCTTCTCCCCATTCCCTTAATACCACCAAAGGAATTCATTTTCTGTTTAGACACCATTCCTTTAGTTAATATTGCATTCCCAGTTGGGGAGACCTTTCTGTGTCACTACCCAAGCCATAAACACTTCAATGGTTTCTGCACATAACTGACTTTTCACAGCTAACCAGTGTTCTGTAGCTGCTTTACTTTTCTTTAAGAGGCAATTTTTAAGCTATTTTTACAGAGTGCAAATCATACACTTTCACCCCAAACTGAATTTTATACAAGTTATCTGTAGGCCAAGGTAATTTCACCACTGCTGTTGTAGAAAAGTCTGTGCATTTAGGAATATTGCAGTTTTGGTGGTGGGATTTTGTGAAACTTCTGGTCAAGTTTTAAAAAATCATATTTTTGCTAATGAGTAGAGGAACGTCTTGGAAAAGGTGTATTTGATCAAAGCTGCACTAGCATGGCAAAAAAAGCCCTCAGTAGAAAATATTGAATAGTGCAATTTTTTTGTTCAACTTCTGTGTTGTTCATTCATTATGACCTGTGGTCTGGACAAATTCTGTCTGTCCTACTTCTGGATTGTGAGTATGCTCAGCAGAGTATAAAGTAATTTTGGATTGATCATTACCTTGTAACTTACAAGCATTCTACTCTATCTAGATCTAAGTGAAAGATGTCTTTCTGCATCTGTAAGTTGTACTTTAATTAGGAACTTTTGAGGGGGGAAATGCTCTAAAAATGGAGCAAAAGTGGTGTTAGGCAGATGGCAAACTCTGTCACAAATATGTTCACTAATTAAATTGTTAGTGCAAGAGTAAACTGGGATATTCCTGAGTTGAGCCGATCTCTTTTTACATTACAAATATAGATTCTCAGTGCAGACATTTGAGGAGAAGCCATGTGGAATTGATTGGGATGGGCTTGAAGAAATATAATGCTTTACTGCTTATGACTGCATTTCTGTCACTTTGTATTAACACAGGCTTATGGGCCAAATCTTCAATGAGAAAACTCTGGTTTGGTTTTGAACAGAGTTGGATGTCTGTGGGATTCATACTCTTAACTTTCTTGCATGTTACTGCAGATGAAATTTGCATGAAACCATTAACTACCTTCTTTTTCTTCTCCCTGAAATGCTTCAAGGCTGCCAGACAGATCAAAGATAGGTACAGTACAAACTTCTTGCTTCTAACTATTTCTAATTTTTTCTTAAAGGAAATTGAGGATTGTAGTTTTAAGGCGTCACTGTTCAGATTGTTCTTACTCAGGTTTCATGCGACTGACAGAAGACTGAGTTTTGCATGGTGACCAGGCACAACACTCTGGCTTCCTCCTTCCTAGTTCATTGGCTTTCATTTTCATACAGTAAGAAAGAAGGGTGGGCACAGCTTAAATAGTAGTGGGGTTAGATGTTTGACAATAGGGCTAGGAGTATTTCTTACCATAGGTACAGTTTCAAATAGCTTGGAAGTAGCACAGGAGTCTCTAGTACAGATGCTAGAGTTTCAGGTTGGCTTTATATGTAACATTAACTTCATGCACAGGGGAAATGAAAGTTACTGGAACACTTCCACATGACCTTGAGAGCTGATATGTAGTGCACATAAAATACTCTGGTTGTTAGAAAAATCTGAAAATGGGACATTGTAAATCTCTTCCTGTGCTGGGGTGAATATTGAAAGGGATCCCAGAATATTTGAGGTGCTTAAGCTTTGTTCATTGTTTATACAGGCCAAGGCATTCCTATTAGTAGAAATGATTGAAAATTGATTATTTTGGCATATTATGCTCAGCGTGCCCCTCAAGAGTCGGTACATTGTGAGCTAAGCTGCACATGAGCAAAAGCCTAGTATTCTGAACACTTCATATAGTGAAATTATTTGGAGGGGGTTTCATTAGTAGTTGGGAACATGTCTCAATACTTAGAGAATGCAGTCTTTTCCCAGTTTGTATAAGGCAGTACTGTGCTGCCCAGCTTGCAGACTTTCATGTCCACTTGTATATTCAGAAGGAAGCAGCCATATATGGATGGAACTTTAAATAAGAGCAGGTACTGGCTAACAGGGGGATGCTGGTAAACCATCTATAGTGGCAAGTGATCTGCACCTGGTCTGTAGTGTTTAGAATATGACATACAGTTCTACCATCCAGGTATGCATGCATGCCTTTACAAGGCACAAACCCAGCATAGGTCACATGCTGCTAAAAAGCTGGTTAGTCTCTCTGTAGGAATGCTTCTGAATGTGTGCTCCAGCCTTAAGATGCTGGCTGGAGAGAACTAGGAAAAGAACTGCAGAGAACAGCCCCAACACAGGATGGTTGAGAAGCCTTTGAGGAGAAGCTTTCAGCCTGAGCCCAGGAAAGACTAGTGCTAGTATTGGACTCCCCAGCAGCAGTTGTTCTGAAGCATGTTTTGCATGAGAAGGTGGAGTCTACAAGAGCCTATCTACCTTACCCTCTTCTGAAGTTGCTTGCTTTCCTCCATCCCTCCTTCTCTGCCACTTTGAGTTTAGTACAGAATGTTAAGTTGACTTGGGGCCAGCCTCTCACTTCAGTGAGGCTTGTACATACCACTTCATGATCAACCGACACTCATCTTCTGTAGCAAAACAAACAAAAAAACCCAAGTTCTATGGTACTGTAAGTCTTAGCATAGCAGCTACTTCTCCTGAATTCTTCTTGCTTCACTTTAAAAAAATAGTCTTGCTTGTTTGATTTATGATCAATAAAAGGAAGTATAAATCTTGCCAGCACCTGAATCATCTTGGTTTTAATTAGCCTGAATATGAAGCAAGTGAAGAATGGAAGTTCAGGTGTATAACTTGGACTCCAGGTGCTGTGGTTAAATGATTTACCCAAGACTAAGGGTGTGTAGCTTCTATAGCTCAGTAGAAAACTGTACTTACTTGGAATAATGCAGTAGCAATTGCACCAAAGAATAGATGCTTTCGAATTACGGTGCTGGAGAAGACTCTTGAGAAGAGTCCCTTGGACTGCAAGGAGATCAAATCAGTAAATCCTAAAAGAAATCAACCTTGACTGTTCCCTGGAAGGCCAGATACTGAAGCTGAAGCACAAATACTTTGGCCACCAAATGAGGAGGGAGCATTCACTGGAGAAGACCCTGATGCTGGGAAAGATTGAAGGTCAAAGAAGACGGGGACGGCAAAGGATGAGATGATTGGACAGTGTTATCAATGCAATGAACATAAAATTAAGCAAACTCCAGAGGATGACAGAAGACAGGAGGGCCTTGTGTGATGTGGTCCATGGGGTTGCAAAGAGTCGGACTCAACTGTGCAACTGAACAACAACAACAACAAAATTTGAATCACGATTTTAAATCTCTGAGAGATCATCTTGGGTACCCAGAAAAGGTACTCATGCCGCCACTACTACTGCATTCCTTAGTGCTGATGTAAAAATATTGGCACTATAATGCTTGATTTCTCATGTTCTCTGAAATGGATCTGTTATAAAAACAGAAGCTTATTCTTCTATACATTGTCCTTGTTGGCTAGCACATGAGGAAGAAAGATCACTGTTGTCCTTCCCATCCAGTTCAACCCCCTTCATGTCTGTATTACAGATGGGAACGCTGAAGGCTGTGATAAGTTGCCAAAATATTTCAAACAGCTTTACTACATTTACTTTTGATAGACTTCTACTACACAGTGACTAGTGGTGTATGACCAGTAGAAATGTCCACCTTAATATCAAAGTTCTGGGCACTGAGGTTATGACTAAAAAGCTTCCTGAGGCAGCATCCGTGTTACAGATCATTGAGTATTAGATGAATGTAATGAGTTTGCAGCAAGACCATTGGCTTTTTTTGGGTAAATTATGTGTTTTGCCTTCTGCTCTTTAGAGTTACAATGGCTCCAGCATTTCGTCTCTCTTTGAAACCCAAAGTGAGTGACAACATGACACACTTGATGGTGGACTTCTCTCAGGAAAGGCAAATGCTCCAAGCTCTCAAGTTCTTGCCAGGTAAGCATATTCTGTAGAGTAATTCAACCATATTATGTATAGAGCGAGGAATTTAGCTGAAGCAACCAACTCAATAATGAGGGTGAAGTGGTGCCAAATGTTTTTATTCAGAGGCTTTTATTACCAAGTCTCAAGTCCCCCTGTTAAATTGCATGGACCCATTTTAGTTTGCTTGTCAGCCGCTCTAGTCTTTAAAGAGCCTTCTTACTGCTGCCTTCCACAGACAGTTTCCAAATGACACTTTGGTGGCCTGTGTTTGCTCCTGCATGAGTGAATCTTTGTATTTGAGAAGCAAATTCAAAGTGTCAGGAGATCAAATTTGATTCACATCTCGTGGATGACAAATGCTTGGAATATCTTGGTATGGAGTTATTTTGAATAGTGCTGAAATTTTATATCAGTTCTGACTGATCACTGGAAATAAGTTGGTCTTAGCAATTCTGATGAAAGTCAAATGAGTTGTCTCTAGATCTTTCTCTACTTTTGATGATTCCAGCTAGACTTGACCCTTGTAAACAAGTCAAACACAGATGTTCAGTGTGGAGTCACTGGCATGTACTTTTGACATCCCTTCATTGTTGTTGCTGTCCCCTGTCCCAATAATGCTAGGATTAGTCATTTGCTCTCCACTTGTGGACACCAAGTTTGAATTTGATTGTGGCTGCTTCTCTCTGAGACTTCCTAATTAAGAATAAAAGCTTTACCATTGTGATGTTCTTTGATGCAATATACAACTAGTCAAATTCTCCTACGACTTAATTTTACATGAGGAATGTAAATGGGAAATCCTGTTACAATGGTAAAGGTAGTCATTAGAAGTATTGTGTTTCTATGTGTGTAAGAATGAAGGTGTGCTGTACTTAGGGGCAGGGATGTCCCAGGAAAACCTGTACCATGTTTTGATACTACCGCAGAGTCACCTTTCTGCTTAGACCCCTTCCCTAGGGGGGATAGGACTTTACTAGGAATTGAATGTTTCTTCTGGCCTTGGTTCCAGTTCTCCTTCAGGCCTATATTGTCCAGCCTCCCTCCATGCCTCAGGACTGGACATGGAGAAATGGAGGGAGGAGTAGGAACCATTCACTGTTGAGGAGGCAGAGCCTTGAGTGAGTGTGTATAAGATCCTGCACAAAGAGGGAAAGTGTTCACTCCCTGAAGCTGGGTAGCAGTGCGGCTGCTTTTGGAGGGAGCTTATCCCAAAGTGAGGGTGAGCTACACATGAAGGGTATCAGGCAGGGGTCGTTTAGTAGAAAAAGAGCTAGGGGAACTCATTAGCATAACTCGTTAGCATATGCCACACCCCCTGACATCACCGGAAGTGTGTCATAAGGCCACACACCCCTGACATCACCGGAAGTGTGCCCTGATCATCACCGGAAGCCTCAAAAGCAAATTTGCAGTTTTCCAGTCCTACTCCATGCAATCAGTGTGCATGATGACCGATCACCTTATTCTTGTGCTCCTCGCTTTTAATGCTAACATTTCCACAGCTACTTTCAGCTCTACCCAGGGCCGGCCTGAGGGGTTTCTGCACCCTAGGTGAGGCTGGCCCGTGGCGCCCTGCTCTGATGCCAACCTCCCGGTGGGGCCTGGAGACCTCCCAGCTGGCTGCCTGTCTCACACCCGCCCATGGGCCCCGAGCCTCTCTGTTCCCCCCTTCCCGACTCCCTCTGCCCCTCCCTCCCCTCGTCGTGCATTTCCACCTCCTCCGGGCCTTTGCGCCGAGAGAGTCCCAGTCCGGCTCCTGCAAACGGGGGATCTGCAGGGCAGGCGGCGGAGGCTTCAGTCCGGGAGGTGCAAAGGCCTGGATGCTCCCTGTTCCTAGCTCCATCCGCTTGGGCTTCTTCTTGGGGGAGGGGTTAAAGGGGGGCAGGAGTCTGCACTCCTAGAGAGAACCGAGACGTTGGCAGTGCAGTGGGGAAGGGGGTGGGGTCTCCTCAGTGCAGGCAGCAGTCCCCGTAGGGCAGCGATGTGGGGGGGGGTGTTTTGCAAGGCTGCAAAAGGGGCTCCAGAGAGGCTCAGGGGAGGGGGGGTGTGGTGGAGGGTGAGCAGAGCAGCACTTTTGGGGCAGCTGACTCGGCCCTTTGCTTTCGGTGGGGCAGGGTGGAACCAATGCCGCCCTCTCAGCTGTGGAGACTTGTGAGCAAAAATCCTGCTTTGTGTGTGCTCCCGGCATGAAAGTTGTGAGCGAGCGATTGGGCTCCTGCATAAATCAGTTTGCTCTGGAGCCACATCCTTCCTGAACGGAGATCAACATGTGTGAGCCGGAGTGTTCCCTCTAAGCTGAGTTAGTGTGAGCTAGCTCAGTTTATTAGCCTCCGGCTCACACATTTTTGTCTTAGCTAAGGAAAGATGGCTCCAGAACAAACTAATTTATGTAGTAGCGAAATCACTCACTCACAACTTTAATGCCAGTAACTCACAAGAGCAGAATTTTTGCTCACAAGACTCCACAGCTTAGAGGGAACATTGGTGGCAGCCACTTAAGTCTCTTATCTGCTCCAGGGCTGAAGAGCAAAGGTGTGTGTGAGGCTGGATGCCTCTTCAGATGGGACTCCCCATCCAGTGCAAGGCCCTGCTCCTTCCTATGTCATATAGTTTGCCCAGAAAAGGCTCTGGATGAATTAAACCCATGCCCACGAGCACTCGTTGGGTAAAGGACTTGCTTTAGAACACCAAACATGCACATGTATGAAACATCTAAACAAGGTAGAGTGATTGATATTTAACACTTGCATTGGCTTTCATCCAGGAAGGCCTGATACATAAGAACTAACACAAAGAATATAGTTTTCCTTTGCTAAGTCCTAAACGATTATACATTAGGTGTTCTGTTCCTATAACAATTCCCTAGCAGTCTAAAGCTATCTATTAAAACCCTTAGCATCTGACACAGCTAACTGCCATCTCTTTCTTCCTAGCTCAACTGAAATTCTCTCCCTGCCCACTCCCCCCATAGAACTGTATTTGTATTGGGTCATGCAGCTATGAATAAATTAACACTTTTGTCACTGAGGGCCTGCTGTACCCGGTGATGCTTCTGGTTTCCTGCATTGTGTGGTCTGGGCAGATACAGTATTTGTAAGCAGTCCACAGTTGAAAGCTGATGATAAAATTACATATATCAGAACTGGTGTGTTTGTTGGTATTGTGAATCTGCAGTCCTGTACACACTAAGAAGCTAGTTTTGCTTAACCTAGTTCAGTTTAATTCTGAGCTCATTTGTTGAATAGAGTATAAGAAATCAGATGGTTAACTGTACACTTTTATTTTTTGTGAACTCCATTTGTAAAAAAGTCTGGCTTTTATATCCAAGTCTTCATTCATCTTTGGTAAGATTGAAATGGTCAATACAAGTGGTGGTCTGGTTTATCAGTGCTCTCAAGGTTGTTTTTTGTCATTCTTTCAACAGTTCCTAGAGCTCCAGAAATAATTCTAGAAGATTGTCTTGTAGCTGACAACTCTGTAACAATATCATGGCAAATGCCAGAAGAAGACAACAAAATTGATCACTATATACTAGAATACAGAAAAACCAATTTTGATGGACTTCCTCGAGTAAAAGATGAGAGGTGCTGGGAGTCCATAGACTACATTAAGGGCACAGAATACACATTATCAGGTATGTTTGAGGAGTGGGGGTCCTCTTTAGGATGACTTGACCTATGAAATGCCTATGACAAATTCCTTCAAAATCATTTCTAGTATATAAATGTCCAATTGACTTGTATGACTATTCTGAAATGCTTTTAATGGGCAGCCAAGACAATCAAGAATAAACATTTTCTTTTTGAAGTTAAAGTTTCTATAACAAAGGCAGTAAAAAGGGCTGCAGGCAAGGTTGGGATGTCTCATATTCAGGTGAGTGTGCAGGAAAATATTAGTGGTAAATACTTTTTTAGAAAATCTTCTCTCCAACCCAGTGGTCTGGTCTGATGAGAACTGAGCATGCTTATTGTTCTAGGTGAGAGCAGTCGAGTCCTTTAAAATGAAGGGAAGACGAGTATGGAAGTTTATGTGTTCAAGCCTCAAAGAGTTTATGGCATTCTGGAAGAGGAGGTGGACAATCCCCCCCCCTCTTTCAAATGGTTTATCCCCCTCCTCCAGTTCCTCCTGTTGTCATTACTTGTTCTACTTAATTCTAGGCAATCTTCTGTTTGTCTGATGAAGGGATCTTTGACTCTGAAAACTTAAACCCAAAAAAATCCTGTTGGTCTCTAAGGTGCTGCTGGACTGGAATCTAGCTTGTGCATGCTTACCTGTCTTATCTGTCTGATGACTTCTCCCTATTCCAGGTCTGAGGTTTGATTCAAAGTACATGAACTTCCGTGTCAGAGCTTGCAACAAGGCTGTGGCAGGAGACTATTCTGACCCGGTGACTTTAGAGACCAAAGGTAAAACTGCATTATAGATAACCCCTATGTTATAGTGGCTAAAGTGCTGATGGCAGGACAGGTAGCTTGTGAAGTATCGTGCCTCTGTTTTGCAGCACTTACAGTCCACTTTTCTCAAGAAGACTTATGTATTTAATCAAGTGAGAGTGGAATTCCTAGAGGAGGGATTCATTCTCGTGTCCATCTTGTCATATTACAAATGCCCAGATTTTTGCCAGACCATATTGGATATGAGAATACTAAAGAATAATAACTTAATCTGACAGGTCCATGCACAAGTTAAGTCTGGAATCATCTATGAAGCTTTGGGTTATATTTGAGGGAATAAAAAAATGAAATGCTAGGAAGCTATCCCAGTAGCAGCTTCTATTTTCACAATCTGGTTTAGTGGTGGTTGATTTGTACATTTGGAGCCGCATGTATCACCGCATGATACTCGTCCAAGATTAGAACTTCTGCAGTGCATTTTTAGGAGGCTGCTATGCTGTGTTTGCATCTGCTGTCTCTGGCTTTACTGTGGAAAAATGTGTTGGTCTAGCATTAGCTGAGTATTGTTAGAAGGCTGCTGCGTATCTTGGATATAACTTGCAGGCTTTTCATCCAAAAGCAGTCTTGTATCAGTATCTTATTCTCACTTGAGTCACAGGTGATCACTTTTAATTGAACTCTAAAATTATTTTGTATCTCGTAATGAAGGATTCCTGCATGACTGGATATTTGCTTTTACAGTTTCCCAGGTCTGCTTTCCTCAAGTGTCTTGTTGGCCTTTCCTAGAGAAATTCCAAAGCCTGTACACTGAAATACTTTTTAAAAAACCTCAGTATGTGAATAGTCTGTTTAATGTGACAGCTATTGTTTAGCTTCCAAAGCTATTCTGCTTAGTTGGCAGTGGATGGATTAAATTTAGACAAAAACACATTCCACTGAGCAGCGGTGACTCAGTTCTGATTGGCTGCATGGAACGCCTCTGACCTCTGAAAGTGTGGGTGCTTACATCATTGGCATTCAGCTTCTGTGGCAATGGAAGTTAGAAAATGTACTGAACACATCTCTTATAGTAAATTTAATATTGGGGAAGATCATGATAGACTCAAAGTTTGTCCTGCTGCTTCAGACCAACCCACCTGAATCTTCCTACTGAATGTTTGGCTTTCACAGTGAACAGCTGCATGCTAGTACGTGATTTCTTGTAATCTGCATTGTCTTCTGCTCTGATTACTGAACAGATTGGCATGCTTACTTTGCTCAGTTTTGAGAGGAAACATGGTTGCCATAGATCTCTAATTCATAACTTGAGAAGCCCGTGATTACCAGGATACTCCAGAGCTCTGAGGCCAGATAGGCAGATCTGATAAAAAAGAAACCACAAGCCCGGATTTTATAAACTGTTTGAGTTAAAAATGGAAAACGTGTCATAGCAGGTTCTGTTTTAGGCTTATGCATAAAGTAGGCTTTGCACTAAAGGAAAGGGCATGAATAACCATTTGATCCACATCTTATCTTTGATCAGCTCTTATTTTCAATCTGGACGGTTCCTCATCTCATATTAACTTGAAAGTTGAAGATTCCTACGTTGAATGGGATTCTACAGGAGGCAAAGGCCAGGAGAACAAAATAAAAGGAAAAGAGAACAAAGGCAGGTAAGGAAAACTGTTGTTTACTTAGACCTGGCTTGTACCTCTGCCTTTTTTATGCCTGAGAAGCAAATAATGGATTTTGTGGGAAGTTAACATAAGCTTTAAAAATGTACTGCCTTAAACTTGATAAATCCATCAGCTCCTTAACACTAAACATTGAGGCAGTTCATGAAGTAAACAAATGGGGAGTTTTGGGAAATCAGGTAATATAATGCTAGTTTACCTAGATGGCGACATTAAAAATTGGCCCTGGTTTACTGAGGCTAGTCACACACACTAAATAATCCACTTTCGATGCACTTTCCAACTGGATTTTGCCAGTTCACGCAGTAAAATCCAGTTGGAAAGCGCACTAAAAGTGGATTATACACTTTCCAACTGGATTTTGCCAGTTCACGCAGTAAAATCCAGTTGGAAAGCGCACTAAAAGTGGATTATTTAGTATCTGTGGCCACAGCCTGAATACTGGTATTGTAACTTTGCTTTTCATAAGATTACGAAAGCTTACCCCTTATGTGCTTCAGTCACACGCCTTGTGCATAAGAGACACTCCTTGAAAGCAGCATTTCCTATCAACTACAGGAGGAAGGAGGTGCCTGAAGGGAGATCTTTTTCAAAGGATTCATTGAACATTTCTTTGTCGGATTGATTCTTGACTGTAAGGAATAATTCCCTTATCAGTTTTTGCATCTGAAAAGCTGGGCTTTTCTGAGTGTGTTAGAAAAAATGACACTGGTAGCACTCAGATACCTTAAATATGCTTTTAAACCCAGAATACTTCTGGATTTTAGTGTCTGGCTTTCAAAGAAAAAGGCCAGGCTGTGAGCTCCCACGTGTCAGATTACAAAATTAGGTCAAAAAGGCACAAAACTCACAGAGGTATAATTGTTCTGCGTTCTCATTTCCACTCCACCATGAAGCTCACTTGATGACTGTGTGCCAGTCACTCTTTATCTCAGCGTAACCTACCTGCAGGCAGGGTTCCCGTTAAGCTGAGTTAGTGTGAGCTAGCTCACTGTTTTTTAGCCTCTGGCTCACACATTTTTGCCTTGGCTCAGGAAGGATGGCTCCGGAGCAAACTAATGTATGCAGCAGCCAAATCGCTCGCTCACAACTTTCATGCTGGTAGCTCACAAAGTAGAATATTTGCTCACAAGACTCCACAGCGTAGAGGGAACATTGCCTGCAGGATGGTGGTTGGGCAAAATGGTGGACTTGAGAGCCTCACTATGCTAAGTTCTTTGGAGGAAGGATAGGATGAAAATGAAGTATTGGGCACACTTATCATCTTACACCCTAGGGATTGCATTGTCTGGTGTGAGTAAAGGGGTGGAGCACAGGTGTATTTCCTTCCTCCCTTATAATGCCTTCCCTTCATTCAAGTCAATAAAGAAAATAAAACTCTGCTGCCGTGGAGGAGGGTCTGTTGTCAGAAGGACCATTGCTGGAGTGAAGAAGAATCATGGTTGAAACAATTGAATGTTCTCAGATTATGCTTGCTGGCACCACTTAAGAACAGCTGGAGGATGTGTGGTGGTTTGACTATCAACCTATGCCTTGATATTCAAAGAAGCCTATTCAGATTTTACACTGCAAGTATATTCTTCATAGGCTTCTTTAAAGAGCTCTGTGAAGCTCCAGCTGAATTCTTTCACACGTTGAGGTTGGCCCTGTAAAAGGTACTTGATCTCTAAGCAAATGATGCACCAGTCTGCGGTGCCGGTCTTGCATTCCCGAAACCATGTATTTTTGCTAAGAGGAACACTCCCTGGTTTTCATTGTTGAAATACCTTGATTGTGTTGATTTTTTTAAAAGTCCTCTGCAGGACAAGGCTCCAAGCCTGGCAGCAGTGTAGAGTCCTGATCTCTGGAGTAGCTGGCTTGGATAATCCATGCCCCCCAGTTACACAAAATAAATTTGGCCACAAATTGAATGAAGATCATCTTTTAAAATCAAAATTTGTTTGATAAATGCTACAAACGTTATCAGAGATTGCTTACTGCGTGCAGTACTTTCCAATCCCAATTTTATTTGTGAGCAAGTGTTTTTTGAGACTGTATATGACATGCTGTGGCTAAATGTCAGCAAGGAAATAGTTTTAAAGTGGCTTAAAGATTACAAAATTAGTGCTTTTTAGATCAAATGTTTCTCCTTAGTCACTTTTAACTGCTTATTTTTGTCTGACAGTGGCCAGATTACCCTCCTGAAGAACAATACAAGGTGATAATATGCCTCTTTTTAGCCCTAGGGTTTAGCCTCCACCCTTACTATTCTTCAATAGTTTTCTTGCAATTCTTGCTGTCTAGACTTAGCACACGTCAATTCCACTGCCTTTACCAGTCAACGAATGTTCCACTCTGTGTAAATTCCTTAATTTGCCAACATGTATATGAATGAACTGCCTTTCTGCAAATGTTTACAAGGCAGTATACAGCTTTGAACAGATGCCAAAATTAAAGTCACTAACATTAAAATACAGAACTGCATAGATAGTTGTCAGTAAACTTATGGTAATGGTTGGTATATGCAAAAACCAAAACCAGCACTTTAAAGGTATCTCTATTGAACAATATTAGTTTTTGTATGCTAAATCCCATTTCTTCAGATGCATGGGACATTATGATGGGATGATAATGCCCAATTTTCTGATTTTGAGTAGGTATTAGAAAGCTTTTAAGTTTCCTTAAAACTTTTTATACAGAGTTTTTCCTCACCAAGTTGATTTCTTGGCTATTCACATGAATCAGGCACACTTTCAAAATGAATATATACTGTCTAAAGAACTTCTGTGTGATGTTGCTTCAATATGCAAAGACCCCAGAAAGGGTCTGAACAAATGAAATGGGAAGTGTTTATGATAACACTAGCAGTGTGATACAATACAGAGAACATGTAAGTTGATCAAATAGCTTTGAATGTTTACATTATCATGCATACTGGTAAAGGCTGTTGAATACAAAAGTCTGTCTTGGTGGAGGGATCTTGGCACACTTACCTGAAAATTAGCATGTTGGCATCTAGGTTAATAACATCTGAATCTGGAAAGTTGTAGTATGTGCCTTTTTCTGTGAACCACATGCAGTGTGTTTTTAGTACCCATGTTACTTTTTTGTAAAGTAGCAGCAAACCTATTGTTGCTTTTAGGGTAGAAAGCAGAAGGCGGCAGGTTTCAGAACAATGGTAGTCTTGGAGCACGATCAAATGCTGTTGTGTATACATTTCTTTTCCCTTGAATTAATGCTTTAATTTCTTGGCTTTAATTTCTTGGCTTTGCTGTCTTTTTTTTCATGCTTTCACTTATTTCTTTTTTTCCTTTTGGTAAGTAACTAAAGTTACATTTAACTTGAACAAAAGCACCTGTCAAAGCTGTGTAGTCAAATATTTCAAGAGCCATAAAAGGATTTCACAAGGGAGGATATCTCATTTCCCCTTGCATCCCCCCCCTCCCCCTGCACTTTTTCTTTTCTCCCTTCCACCAACCAACCCATGTTTATCAGCTGCTATCCCCAGTTCTTCAGCTTTTCCTCCATCCCTCTGTTGGCAGCCTCTCCCCTTTTCTCCTACAACATCTATTTCTGTTCTCCCCCACTTCTCCTTTTCTTTCTGCTGTTTCCTTGCTTCCTTCCTACCCTCCTTTCTGTCTTTTACCTTTTTCATTCTCTCCTTCCAACTTTGACAGAAACCAAGGTTTAGAAGGCTCCGCTGTATTGTGATGGTTGCCCAGCAACCTCTAAAATGGCCATTGAGATTGTTGAATACAGTCACATGAGATCTTGGTGGGCATTCATCAGTTAAAGCCACGGACATAGTTTGTATTTTGGGTTTTTTAACCACCGTGTATATTTTCCCTGAGGGCTTCTTTGAGGTTTGTTGAAAAATCCCCTTTGTCTGTCCCTGGTCCCAGTGTGTGGATTTTTGAGCCACAGTTTAGGGCCTGGTTCAGAATTACATGTTGTTCTGAAAACAGCAGTAAAACTATGACTTAAAACTATTTTATGTAAATAAGCCAAATACCCTTTTTCCTGGCAAAGGTACTAAATTACTTACACGGTACTCAGATTTTCTACCGGAAACCTCTTTGAGTGTTCTTACTATGGTCATTGTAATGCCAAAAGCTGTAATATTACACCACAGTGGCAAGGAGAGTTATTGATGCCTTGTTGGGATTGGGAAGAGGCCTGACTGATTGAACCAGATCAGACTGTGGTTTTCCTTTTAATGCTTATTAAATGCTTGTTAAAGTACAGTTTTTCAGAATTACTCTCCATTCCTGCCCTGCCATATTCTTTACAGTATTCAGTAATTATCTAAATTTGTCTTCTTGTCTTATTGTAGTTTATCTGTTATCTTGGTAGCTTTGTGTGTGTGTGTGTGTGTGTGTGTTTTGAATATTTAGAGACTTTAGTATAGCCAGATGAGCAAAGCCCTCTAACAGCATGTGAGCCATGCATGGTCATAAGAGCTTGTGTGCAACTTAAAATTTTTAATTTTTATCAGAACTAACTTGTTCTCAGTAGTCATATGCTGTAGTCGTTACCACTTGAATATTGTGGAGCAGTACAAATAATGTAATTTCTTGTCACTTTACAGAAGTGGAACTCCATCTCCAAAACGGTCATCTGTTAGTTCACGCTCTCCATTGATAAGAGGCAGCAGAGATCGGTTTACTGGGGAATCGTATACAGTCCTGGGTAAGGTTTCCTAGGTATGGCTTTTTAGTCCAGTGGCTGTAAGCACTGAGATCAGGGATTTTCACTGGTGCCCACCATCTGCCATTTGTACTCAGCTGTGTATCTCTTCGCCCTGACCTGGATGGCCCAAGCTACCTGGTTCTCACCAGATCTCAGAAGCTAAGCAGAACCGGCCCTGGCTAGTCCTTGGATGGGAGACCACGAAGGAGGTCAACGATGGCTATGCAGAAGCAGGCCATGGCAAACCACCTCTGAATGTCTCTTGCCTTGAAACACCCTACAGGATCGTCATACGTTGACTGCAACTTGACAGCACTTTCCACTGCCACATGTCTCTTTTTGTGTAGCCTTCACCTCAAAGCAACCAAAACGTATTTAGAGTTAAGAGAAATTTCTGTGTTTTGTTACAGGAGACACTGCTATTGAGAGTGGACAGCACTACTGGGAAGTGAAAGCCCAGAAAGACTGTAAATCCTATAGCATGGGAGTGACGTATAAAAATTTGGGGAAATTTGACCAGCTGGGCAAAACTAATACAAGCTGGTGTGTGCACATCAATAACTGGCTTCAGACAACTTTTGCAGCCAAACACAATAATAAAGCAAAGGTACTAGATGTTGTAGTTCCAGACAGGATAGGAGTCTACTGTGACTTTGATGGAGGTAACTTTTAGTCTATAAAAATATTTATTGAGAGAATGGAAATAATGTATTGCCATGAACAAATTTTGGAAATGTTGCAATGGATTAACTTCTGAATGCCTTTTCAGAGAAAGGGGAGAACATTGTACGGAGGGAAGATGGACTTGGGTACTTGGGTTAATCTTGTTTCTTCTAGTGCTGCAATGTCTTAAGTTTTAACCAAAGTTAAACCTAAATGTCTGAGAGAGGTGTCTCTCCACCCCTGAAATGTTAATCCTTTGAGTAGCTGTTCTTGATGCTCTTCACATCAGCTATACATTCCATAATTCCTCCGATAGGATTTGCTGAAAAATAGCTGCCAAGAAGTATACAAGGATAATAGTCCCAGCATGATAACAGAAACAAAGTAAAGCTATTAGATGTACTAAGCTGTAACTTGGGATAGATTAGGGTACTGCTGTGAAGTTTTTAAAGCTCAATGTCCTAAACACTTTTAAACCATTTCAGATATAGACCCTAGAGATTAGGTAAACCTAGTTTGATTGAATTAGGTTGCCAGAACAATGGCTAGTGATACAGCCCTGGCTGGTGCTAACTAGGCTGTACTACATTTTCCTTGTTATCTTGCCATTGAGAACAGTATAGAGAGTGAATAGAAATGTGCTTTTTGTATTTGATACTAGGACCAGTCAGTGAAATTGACTGAAGATTTTAGGGCTTTAGGATATGTATGTGTAACACCTAATCAGGTTATGGAATTAATTGCTGCAAGGTGGATAGGTCATTACTGTTGATCAGTCGTGACAGTGAAGAGCTTAATTCAGAGGAAGCATAGTTCTGTTTACCAGATGCTGAGGTCATATCAGAATGTCTATCTCAATTGTCTTGTTTGTAAGCTCTGGCCATATGGTCAGCTATTGTTGGAAGTAGGAGGGAGGACTCAGCTGACCTGTTGTTTGTTTCAACAAAATAATTACTGAAAGCTAATTTAGGAATTCGTCCCATATATTTCAAGCAATGTTCTTGCTTTTCTCTGCTACACACTTTTCTTTTGGCTACAGTGGCTGTCATAAAATATTCCATTGTAGGGCTTACATTTCTTAGTTCATAAATAATAAATCCAAACATATAGAATGTGTAGTCTTGAAAAGGCAAAAATCTGTAAAGTAACATTCTTAAAATGTTAACCTTCCTTTCTCTCTCTAGGTCAGCTTTCATTCTATAATGCAAGCTCAAAGCAACTGTTGTATACCTTCAAAACAAAATTTACCCAACCACTATTACCAGGCTTCATGGTTAGTACCTCCTTTTTTACCTTTTCACACATCTCACTTTACAGGGCTATTTCTGTATTGTTGAATTATGCTATTAAGTATAATCATTATCAGAATATAGAAAAGATTGCCAACCTAATGTCATAGTTATTTTGGGATATAGTTCTTTGTCAGTGGAGCAGTTGTTTGAGAGGGCAGGCAAACCATTGAGGTTGGGAATGGGCACAGTTCAAGCTCTTAAAAGACCCACTTTCATTTTTAAAAACCAAGCTATTAAGTCTTGTTTGTGGAAGTATTTGCATAATTTAGATTGTATAACTTGACTTCCCTGGGGTGCAGGACTTGAGGATGTACACATCAACTTGGTTAGTTTCAGTCATGTGAACTTTGGTTTGTGCAACTAACTCTGGTTGACCAGAAATGACAAACCCTGGTCTGTTGGCTTCGTGCCCAGTAGGCAGGGCATCCTCTGTGGTCAGGTGACTCAAGTGACTATTAAAGGTGATTTACTAAAGTGCCAACTAGAAACCTTTCATTTGGAATCCTAGTTGGGTGCTAGGCAGCAAACTGGGATTTGATCAAGCCAGTTTATTGTGATACCTCAGCGCAGTCAGTTATTCCTTAAAAGCAAGTATTAAAAGGAAGTGGATATACTGCAGATTTCCATGTCCTTAAACATTCTGAGACCTAGATCTGCTTATTACTGAGCTATGTGTGCTATTCACATTTGAAGAAACTCTCAAAGCAAGTCCTGTGTAACACTCCTGGATACTTTTTTGTCTGTGAAGTTTAATTTATCATCTTAATCTTGATGAAGTTAATATTTTAAGAAGGCTCTAGAACTTGGTCCATGCCACTTTATGTTAATAATGCTTAAAAGGTAACTTGAAAACTGAAGAGGCCAAAAGCTTGCACATTTTATCCATCACTTTTCTCAGTGAAAATGACAGTGAAAAACTGGTTTGATTCTTTCCTTTCAAAATGGTGGCGCATAAGTTTCTTTTGTTTGAATAAGCACTCATTGACTCAAAACAAGTATTCAAGGATGCAGAATTTAGACACTGATTCCCTAGTATGCCAGCATTATCTGTCTGATTAGTGTGCACAGGAATGAGCAATTTCTCTAAGATTTCAGGCACAGTATTTTAAGCAGGCAGAAACTTCAAGCTAAATTGCTTGTTTGAACTCCAACCAGATATTTACTAGCTTGAAATTTCCTTCTAGCTCTGGCCACCCTCACTACAAAATCAGTTATTTTATTCCTACCCCTAAGAAAATCGGTATTCTGTGAAAAGAGTTGTGGATTCTCAGCATCCCTACAAAATTACAGAACAAATATACAGAATCATCAGATGTAAAGCATGTTGCATTTGCTCTTGAACAGTGATCTCCAGTATGGCACTGTAGGCATCATGCTGCCCACCCGTGAGTTCTTGGTGCCCATTTGCTTCTTCCCCAAAGCATAGTCAGCCCTGGCTTCCCTGCACCTTAAAGGAGTAGAAAAGAGCAAGAGTCCAGTAGCACCTTAAAGACTAACAAAATATGTGGGAAGGTATGAGCCTGCCACATATTTTGTTAGTCTTTAAGTGCTCCTGGTCTCTTGCTCTTTTCTACTGTTATAGACAGACTAACATGGCTACCCATCTTGATCTGTCCTCATTAAAGGAGGAGAACCCAGAACCGACTGACTTTGTAGTAGGACAGTGCTTGACTTGTAGCTTGCCAGCATATTCTGGTTGGCCCCAACCCTCCATGGCAGCCATTTTCTGGTGGCGGCCATTCCATGTTCTTAAAATTATAGAAGCACCCACAGGCTCAACAAGATTTATTTATTTATTTATTTATTCCGTTAGATTTCTTGACCGATCTTCCCTGCTTACGTGGGGCTCAGGGTGGTTTACAACGGAATTCAATTCATTATAAAAACAATTAAAACCATAAAAAATCAATATTAGAAACATTCAAACATAAGTATTTGAAAACATTTTAAGAACAAGATGGCATATCTAGCATTCAGTTATGTGAGGTGATCGGCAGATGTAAGGAACCGTCGCTGACCTCAACCAAAGGCCTGGTGGAATATCTCTGCCTTACATGCCCTGTGAAACTTTTAACAGGTCAGACAGGGCATGGATGTCATTCAGCAGGGAGTTCCACCAGGCTGGGCCAGGGCCGAAAAGACCCTGGCCCTGGTAGAGGTCAGCTGGATATCCTTGGGGCTGGGAACCAACAGAAGATTCTTATCTGCTGATCTTAATGCCCTTCGGGGGACATATCTGGAGAGGTGGTCCTAGAGGTATGTAGGTCCTCGACCGTAAAGGGCTTTAAAGGTAAGCACCAAAACCTTGAATCTGATCTGGTGCTCCACTGGCAACCAATGATTGGAGACTTCTGCTTTAGAATGTATGTGGATTTCCTCCATTGTTTCTGTTGTGTTATGTTAAGATGTGATGTATTCTAACATGGCGTGTGCTTCACATTACTTTGTGGAAATGCATGCAGGGATGAATAGTCATATTTCAAATATTGGCCTTAATTTTCTAGGTCTGGTGTGGTGGTCTCACAGTGACAACAGGACTGCAGGTGCCAACAGCTGTGAAAACGCTACAGAAGAGTGAAAATGGATTGAGTGGTTCAGCTAGTAGCCTAACCAATGTCGCCCAGTGATGTTGCTGCTATAGGTTAACTAATGTTTTGCTGCAAGTGAAATTAAGGAGAGCTTGCAAGCAATGGTTTTATGTGTTCCTGCTGCTTCTAAAGCCTGAGCACTAATTTGTGCAGAATACTTGGGCCTGAGTGGAATATTGGCAGGAGCATACTGTGACAGTGTAATAGGAAATAGACTGATCTTTTTTTAAAAAAAGAAAAGAAAAAAAGAGGGGCATAGAGGTAACTACAAGTATGTGACTATTTCTATTAGACTGAACTTGATTACTTGTGGCTGCTTCATCTTTTCAGTATGATAAGGATAAGTATGATCTTAGTCTAAAATCTGCATTGCTTTCCTTCTCTTGTCAATTTCTAGCACTTGTCCCTTTGACCTTGACAAAAAGTAGATAAACTGGGGATCCTACACAAAAGCTTTAAAAATGAGAACCTTCTGGACCCAATTTGAACCTACAGATTTTGACAGAGTGGGGAAAGATACATATACTTACATTTGGTCACTGTTCTTTCATTCAGGGTAGATAGTATACCATCAGGCATCATGGCTTACTTTAACAAGGTTTACCAAGTCTGTGTAGATAATGCATTCTAAACCTATTTTGGGTGCTGTGTCAACAAGCCATGCAGAATATGAAATGGGTTATCACCTGGTTATGAAAGATTATAGTATTGCTGACCAGTTTAGCACAGGAAAGTTTTGAAGTATTTCTGCTTCTCCCCCCCCCCCCCCCCAAACCTGGTCTGTAATTAGAGGGTAAAGAAACTTCTGTGCCCTGTATCTCTGGGTGGGGGGTCTCTCTAGTGTTTGTGTATGGACAGAGATCATGACAAATTTAAGATTGTACCCTTATTTGGCATAAGCTTATACTCTGAATCCATTGGCATTTCGGTAGGGTATGTCCTGAAATTCTGCCTAATAGAATTGGAGTCCATAATAAGCTCCTAGCTGCATGAAATACCTTAACTTGAGAACTTAATATGTTATGTATTGAATTATATAAGTCCTCTGTGATCTTGGCTAGATAAAAAGTGGATTGTACATTCCCATTTTGAATGTCTCCATAACTCCTCCCTTCCTCCCATGGTGTTAGAAAAGATTATTAAGGCCATGCACTGAAACTTAAGGTTGTATGCTAATGTGCTGCCAGCCTCCCTAATATTTTAGCTTGGCTCACTTCTTCAGTATGTAGGACTTAGTATTTGATTTTTTAAATTTATTTTTCTGTCGGTTTGTTGGCTGACTTGACAACTTTACAAAAGTGAACAAAGCAAACTGCTTTTGGAACTCTCATCTATTTTTGAGAAATTAATTTTCCCTTCATAGAAAAGTTACACTACAATTTGGATGCCTTTTTAAAAAAAATTGTACAGTTCAGTGGAATTTCCTGTATGGGCTTTAATTTATTTCAAGATTTTCCTCTTGCAAAAGGTTTCTTTGGCAGCATATAAAACTAAATATTCTCACGTCAACAGAATTCAAGCTATTAGCCCCTTTCAAAGCCAAGCTTAAATATGGATTCTAAGAAGGAACCAACCCCCCCCCCATCTCATGCAGCAAGACTCCTACACTTTAGTGATGCCACTCTATTTGTGGCTCAGCCTCTTTACACTCTTGTTGTGGGGGAAAATGAGGATGTTCTGAGTGACCGATTCTCTTCATGCCCGTTGAATTAAATGCCAGCTACCATTTGAGAGGGAAGCAGATTGTAGTACTTCTAAAATGTCTTACTGATGTGTTGAATATTGTAAATAAGCTAATTAATCTGTATCCAGATATTCCTAACACTGGAATGACATTTAGGTATAAAGTACTAGCTTTGTTTTGCTCTTCTTTGCTGTAAACAGTTGACATGTGCCCTGCTGGTAACAACAGCATTGCTGCATAAGGAAAGAGTCTGCAAGCAACTTGAGTGTGGTTTTCAAAGCTGAATAGACGTCATCCTTCTGAATTAATTACATATGCAAGGTGCTTCCAATTATGCAGACTTTTTTGTGAGTTTTCCAAAACTCATCTGATTTGCAACTGTTATTCCAGATGCACCCTTAGTGTTGATCTAGAAGTAGAGAGATGGGTTTTTCTACCATTATAGGAAGGATCATTACTGTGAACTAGCCTGAGGCCCAGGTGCTTAGTTCTCTTGCTGCTTAACAGGGTAGTCCCATATCAGAGGAAATGCCTTAAGCACTTTAGATCTTTTTTTCCCTTTATACCTTGGAGTTAACAATCCTCCATCTGTTAGTTCTCTGGCAAGCATGCAGATTAGTGCAATTGAGCAACATGGTCACTCAACTGGAATGCTTTTTGTTGGCTCTTCAGGTGGAGACATGTTTATGTAGTCTAACAAACAAGGTGTAGTGTTTTCCCAGTGTGTACATAATTTTCTTGGCTTGCCCACTGTAAAATTTAAAGTATTTTTGTATTTGAAGCTAATGAAGACTTCTGTTTGTATATTTGCGGAGGGGGGGCACTAAATGTGTGTGTTTAGTTCATGGAAATCATGGAATTTTCACTTCGTGTAACATAATTATGTAACTAAGAAAACTCTGTTCCCTTTTATGGAATACAGTAGCAAATTGAATATTCTATTGTACTGAAATACAAGACTTTGTATGACCTTCCTGGAAGCTGTAAGAAGCAGCACATTTGAAAGAGCAGCTGAAAAACCAGGCCATACAAAGAATACCATGAAAGGGATTTCAAGGCTTGTTTTTTTTACTGTTGGCATAGGATAAAAATCCAGATTATTCCAGTCATTATCAAGCCATTCTGCTTTCTGAAGGTTGCAGAAATGTCCTTTAAATATAGGATTATCTTCTGTATGTGTTATGTCTCACTAGGACTGAGTTCTGTTTTGGGTGTGTAAAATAGCCATTGCCTGCCTTTGAGTCAAGCCCATAGTCTGGTTAACATTTGGCACTAATTATGTTACCTGGTGTGGTATTTCAGCTGGGCTTCTCGGTGTGATGGTTACACTTAACTGATGTAGTTTCACACTTTTCCTCAGCATCGAAATGAAATCTTTTGAAAGCTTACTGACTTGAATAGGAAACCTAAACCTCTGTTCCTAAGTACTGTACAATGGGCTTTTCCTACATCTCTCCATCATAAGCCAGCTCTTCTGTTTTCACCACTAGGAAAGTTCCGTTTGTTTAGTTATCAGCACCAGTAACGATTTGTGCATGTGCCTTTAAAACAAACAGCTCCATGTCATTCCTTTACTCATGACATTAGATGTTGAGAGACTAGAATGCATTCTCGCACCAATCCTAAACAAGGAAACTGGCACATTGACAGTACCTCAGGTATTCAGTAACCGGTTGTTCATTCTTTATCATTGTGAGTATCCTAAGACAACAGTCCTACCTGCCATAGCAACATTGTACCACTGGGGTGCCTTAGAGCCCATGGAGTGTTTTTATTTGCTGTGTCTCTAATTCAAACATGTCTCTCAGAGGTTTTGTACTAAATAAACATTTGAAAAACTACCTTGTTTGCTGTCTGACTTCTTCAGGATCGGATACACTTGGATGACGGGTAAATTAACATTTCTTAACATGTTTCATTTACTTCATTTAAGTCCCACCTTTTCTGCCCAATGATGACCCAAAGTACTTTGCAACATTCTCCTCTTCATTCTGTCCTCATATAAACCCTGTGAGAGAGGCTGTGAAGATAGGCTCATTGAGGAAGACTCAGCATGGGTTCTGTAAGGGAAGATCTTGTCTCACTAACCTGTTAAGTGTTTTTGAGGGGGTGAAGAAACGTGGAGACGGGTGACCCAATAGATGTTGTTTACCTTGACTTACAGAAAGCTTTTGATAAAGTTCCTCATCAAAGGCTCCTAAGTAAGCTCAGTAGTCACAGGATAAAAGAACAAGTCCTATTGTGGATCAAAAGCTGGCTAATTAATAGGAAACAGAGTGGGAAACAAGACGTGAAGGGTCCTGCTTGGCTCACCCAGAGAGAAGTAACAAGGACGCTGGAAAGCCTCAGGGCAAACGGGAGCTGGGAGGAGGCAGGGAAGTTTTCGTGGGTGAACAGCACCCATAGACAGTTTTAGGCGCCTGCCTCGAGCGCCCCCTCGTGGGGGGTGCCAGACTGGCCTGCCGCCCCGCCCCTCTCACCCAGGTCTCTCCAAAAGCCCTGCTGGCTCTCGCCAGGCTCTGCACTTCAGGAGCTGCGCAATCCCAGCACTTGGGCACCACGACGCAGCAGCACATCTCGCCGCTCGCCCTGCCTCCATCTTCTCCTCTCTCAGCAATCGGGGAATCAGGAAAGGAAAGCCTCTCTCACACACCCCGCGCACGCGGAGCTCCCTTTAAAAAGCGGCCTTGATGGAGTCAGAGTAGCCGCACCCCTGCGATCCTGCTCGCCCCTCGCCGCCAGACCCCCTCCCACGCTGCGCCTGTGGCTTCTTTGCCCGGCAGAGAGGCTGCTCTGCTGCGGGGTAGAGCTTGGCTTGGCTTTCGCGCGCCCCATGCTGAGACACGAATCATCTGGCTTGTTTTTTCCAGCGCTCATGGGGCCGAGCAAGATCTCCATGGGGGGGGGGTCTGGAGGAGGGGGATGAGTGCCAGGAAAAGCAGTTCTTCCTGAGTGGCAGCAGCACCTCGAAATAGACCCTCCCTGGCAGCAGCTTCGGCCCTCCTAGGAGGAAAGTTTTCAGTTACATCCTCCGGAAGTGCCTTGGAAGGCTATTGTTGACCAACTGCGTTTTTATTTTTCTAAAGAGTTTTCTAAGAAAGGGGGGGAAACTTGTGTGTCTGCTAAAATAGATTCTTGACAGAGGCTCCCTCAGAGTCACAGCTGTACATGTTGGATGACAGAATTTCTCTGCTTACTGCAACCTGGATGCTGTCCAGTATACAGCATGAATGTTTTGACAGTTCCCAGGGCTTGTTTTATGTCCCTGTGTGTGGTTTTGTGTGCATCCACGCATGTGCAAAAAACCCAGAGCTGTTGGGTTGTTGTTGTTTTTTACTGTGCTAAAAAATAGCAGAATGTTACATTTGAGTCTTAAGAAAAACAGCAAAAGAATCACTGTGTGGTCAGGTGATGCACATTTTAAAACACTGGAGAACATCGCTTGCTGTCTCCTTCGGCATCAATGCTGGTGAGCATTTGGAAAGCAGCAGACAGTTATTAACTATGCACCACTATCAGGAAGCATCGTCATGTGAATGAGTCACTGTAACACATTTTATGCAGAAGAAGAAGAGACATGCTATTAACTCTGTTTCTGGGAGAGAATTATTAGGATT